TAGTAGCTTCTAGCTACTAGTAGTATTGCCCTTGCTACTACTAGTAAGGCACCTTGCTACTAGCAGCTTCTAGCTACTAGTAGTATTGCCCTTGCGACTACTAGTAAGGCACCTTGCTACTAGTAGCTTCTAGCACTAGTAGTAATGCCCTTGTTGCTACTAGTAAGGCACCTTGCTACTAAGGGACTGACAGCAAGGGCCGTCATCGGAGATCACTGGATTTACGTGCATGCGCATGATATTATGATGATATACGAGAAGACAGATAATCATTGTAGGTACCTAGGCAGGATCGCTAGCATTTATTATATGAGCGACGCTGTTTATTTGTTATGTGGGCCTTGCACATTTCAATTTGGTGAGTGTATTATCGTTTTCCACGGTTTGAACCTTACTTATGTAAAGGTTGTTTTCACAATGCAGCAGACTTTTTGGACATGGAAGCAGACGTGCGACGGAAACTCCTTCTGTGTGGTAAGGTCATGTGTATGGCCTTCTATGGTGGCATCGCTACCCACAGCGCCAGCATTGTTTTTGACTTGTCACCGTTTGGTGGGAGTAGCAGTAGCAGTAGCAGTAGCAGTAGCAGCAGCAGCAGGAGGAGGAGTAGTAGTAGTAGTAGTGGTAGTGGTAGTAGTAGTAGTAGTTGTTGTAGTAATAGTAGTAGTAGTAGTAGCGGTAGTGGTAGTCGTAGTAGTAGTAGCAGCAGCAGTAGTAGTAGTACTAGTAGTACTAATAGTACTAGTAGTACTAGTAGTACTACTAGTAATAGTAGTAGTAGTAGTAGTAGTAGTGGTAGTGGTAGTACTAGTAGTAGTACTAGTAGTACTAGTAGCACTAGTACTAGTAGCATTAGTACTTGTAGCACTAGTAGTACTAGTGGCAGTAGTGGTAGTAGTCGTAGTAGCAGTAGTAGTGGTACTAGTAGTACTAGTAGTAGCAGCAGTAGTGGCAGTAGGAGCAGTAGCAGTGGCAGTGGCAGTCGCAGTGGCGGCAGCAGCAGCAGGAGGAGCAGTACTAGCAGTAGTAGTCGTTGTCGTGGTTGTGTTTGTGGTTGTGGTGGTGGTAGTGGTAGTGGCAGTGGCAGTGGTAGTAGTAGTAGCAGCAGGAGTAGTAGTAGAAGTAGTGGTAGTAGAAGTAGTAGTAGTAGTAGTAGACCAGCCATGTCTTGAGCTTGTTTGGAAGATATGTTTCAGATACAAGTGGGGCACTGGTTTCGTAGCACAGGTTCGTCTACATTTACGTTATCGTTTGGTTATCGTTTAGGTTATCGTTTGACTACAGCTACATTTCGGACAAACCTGTCGCCAAAGTCCGAAGTCAAATATGGCTTTGGGAAAGGCTACACTAAGCAGAAACGAGGTTCCCTGATGGTCTTCACGGTTGACAAGCTGTACTGCAGCTATGCAAACTAAACTTTCCTATAATAAAACATGATGCTATCAATATGTTATCGTGTTTTGATGAGTGTATTATCTTTGTCCAAGTAAAATGCAAATTATGCAATCCCAATGTCGGGTCCTTTACTAAATACCTTTGCGTATATATAAATCAGGTTGCTCATATACACAATGAGAACTCCAATAGAATACGTGAACAATATGTTCAATGAATGTCGATTCATGTCGATTCTATTTCCAGAGGCGCATGATCTACCAGCCAAAATAGGGCTGCTCAATCAATTTTCAGGACAATACGATCCTTTTTAAGACCTTGGTTCCACACTGTCCTTTCGAGACTGCCTGCAATTTTCAGTTCTGAGTCATCAGTTCTTTCCAGAAAATAGACTTTTCGATGCTTTATCTACTGCAAAATGACTCTCCTGACTGCCCTGCAAAGCAACTCTGGAAGTCCATGTGCGCCCGCTTCGCTTGACGTAGGCTGCTCACCAGCAATCCACCGCCATTGGTCCTAAGCGTCCGAGGACTTCAGCTCGATCGTCACACGTTCCGTGTCCGTTCCCGGTTCCCGGTTCCCCCGTTCCGGCGGATTATGAATGTATCAGCAGGCGCTTGAGGTTGATATAGTAGATTCTATTTCATGGTAGATGCTTAAACAACAAAAACACCATGAGGCCATGAGGCCTCAACTGAGTCTGCACTACTCCTGCGTAGGTTGGCAATGTGAATGTATTGCCAGTCCCACAAAGTGTGCCTTCATGCGACTTCTCAACAAATCAATACAACATGACAAAACACACGTGAAACAACTCTCTAAACTTAAACTTCAGTCAACAAACAGCGCCCACATTTGTTTTCAAATAATTCCTTCCCCAGGCCCCAGGATGCAATTTTGTTTCAAACAAATGTCACACATGTAGAGACACCCGTCGTTTGGTTTTCGTGGGCCTAGCCGCGACTGGTGATGGCAACAACCAACACTCTTGGAGGCCACCTTCAGAACTTCAAGGCCCAAACCTGGTGAGCCTGAAAAAAAAATAGAACATTGAGGTATAGTGGATGTAGTTTTCCGAACAAACGATGCGTGTCTCAATGGAAGAATTCAACTCTCATTCTCTTGATGTTTTTGACATCCTTTTGAGGGGACAGGTGCAGGAATGGTTAAGTGGGGCATGGTGGGGCAGGTTTTAGGACATCAGTTTGAGGCCGGACAGGTCCAGCAATCAAAGTGGGCAAAAAGGTTTGAATGGTGGTCAGATGTATGGAAGAAACACGAAGAAACCTTGTGGAGACTAAACCAAAACGATAGAAATAAGAACACAAGGTTCTGGGACTATGCGCCACAAGACCGAAAGAACACATGGCAAGTGTCTCTGCAATTGTGCGTGTGTGTGTGTGTGTCTGTGTGTGTGTCCCACCCTGGACAAAGGGTTTTTCCATCACCTTCACTTCACTTCACTCCACAAGCAGGGGCGTGCAGCATCTGT